AACCTAACCAAACACTAACTTAACACTAACCTAACCAAACACTAACCTAATACTAACCTAACCAAACACTAACTTAACACTAACCTAACCAAACACTAACCTAATACTAACCTAACCAAACACTAACTTAACACTAACCTAACCAAACACTAACCTAATACTAACCTAACACTAACCTAACCAAACACTAACTTAACACTAACCTAACCAAACACTAACCTAATACTAACCTAACCTAACTGGAGCTAAGTGAACGTGTCTAGTTAAGATAAAGTGTATTTTTGAAGGTTAATTGTGTGTTATTATTGTGTGTTGTACATGGTAGACTTCCTTGACTGTTAGATACGTGTTGTATTATCTCAAACGACTGACTAACATACAAACTGATACATACACTGAAACTCGACGTCAGGAAAGATAACTCGACGCCAGGGAAGATAACTCGACGTCAGGGAAGGTAACTCGACGTCAGGGAAGGTAACTCGACGTCAGGGAAGGTCAGGGAGGTAGTGGCTGGTATTGTCAACGTCATAACTCAAGGTATCGTGTCTAATCCTATTGTGTTTATACCTGTATTACCTTCCACACACACACACACACACACACACACACACACACACACACACACACACACACACACACACACACAGGACGCTTCTGGAATCGAATAATCAATAGTGTTGACGGACGGGGCGTCGAGGCTTGACTTCCCCAGGTGACGGTAATGGCGTGGACAGGTGATGTACAGGAGTCACCAAACTTCCCCTTACTTCTCCTGTAAGCCCGTTTCCCCAATCTTCCCCTATAAACCTCGTCTCCCTAATCACCCCAGCCTGCTTTAGTTTTCCAATCTATCCTTATTAATCAGCTTGCCCCAACCTATACCTTAGCTCCCAGGTGACGGTAATGGTATGGGCAGGTGGTTAGATCATTTACCTGTGTGTGTGTTTATCAGGAGGAGAGTAACTAGACTCCCATTGTGTAGGTTACCTCATAATACCTTTACTAATGAAGTATATACTCAGAGATGACAACCAGAGAAGGACACAAGTACATGGACTGACTGAATGAATTACCTTCGACGTTTCATCTATTATAAATGTGTCGCACGCTGCCCCACCTGTACTGCACTGTAGATGTGAAGTGACTCAGCTGTTGTTTGTTGATGATACCGCTGTAGTGAGATGCTTCGGGAGAGACAAGTTACGAATGTTTGTGAATGAATCTGGTTGTGGGTGTAGCAGTTATCTTGGGAAAGTTGATAACATATGTGAAGAAAAGTTATTAAAGAAAGTAAGTAATGGAGGGAGGAGGATGGAGTAATGGAGTGATATAAGCATAGTATGTGGGAGTGGATGTGTCAGTTAATGTGAACACAAAGTAATAAACGGATTGAGAGAGAGAGAGAGAGAGGCTCTGGATGTAATAAAAAGGCAACAATTAGAGGCGACAGAAATGAAGTGCGTGTGTCTATGCTTCTTGTGTGTGTGTGTGTGTGTGTGTGTTTTGTGCTCCTGTGTTAGGAGTGCGTGGCGTCAGGTTTATAAAAATAGTGTCAGGGATTCTTGGAAGATCTCTCAATACAGGTTTGGCGAGATCTTATATGACCTGTTACGAGGAAATCTAACTTAGGAATTGTTGAGCATCTTGAACGTGACCCTGTTTTAACCCAGCGTGACGTCCCCTGTCCAGCTAACGGCCCTTCTATATAAGAGGCTCTTCAGGTAACGCCCCTCCAATCAACGAACACCCCTACACCACCCCCCGGACACCCCCCCCTCCCCAGTATAATATCCCACCCCACCCCCCTCACCCCTCCCTTCGCCCAGTACAGCTCCCCTCACCCCTCCACCACTACAGCATCCCATCCCACCCCTAGTATAACACTCTCCTCCTCCAATGTAAGACTCCCCCCCTCCTTCATCACCTCTACTTCCAGGGTGTGTAAGGCTGGCGGCTCCTGGGTTCAATATGACGGTGAAGATGGCTCAGGTCTTCAGTTCGTCTCCTTGATCATGCGGCCAGGATGGTGATTTGCCCACACCGTCCTATACACCTCCTCGTCCTGACCTCATTTTCCTCCTTTACTTCCTCTTCCTTTTCCTTCTCCAGGAAGAATATCTTCTTGCTCTTCTTCCCAGTAAGTGTACACAATGTATATACTGTATTCAATACCTAAAAAATAAAATATTAATGAATGATATTTGAGTATAATATCACATAGGAATATTACATACCAGG